CCCATCTCTGAGCGGGCGGGGGGTGGGGGGTGGCAGGATAGTCTCACTTCCCTGTGAGTGGCCAGCAGAGGCTGAGACAGGAGTGACCAGCCAGGACCGTGCACAAGGGCCAGTGTCCTAGTGGCTCTCCCTCCCCGTCCGCTGTCCCTTCTCCAGGCCTGCTCCCTGGGGTCTGGGGCACTGTCTGGAGAGCTCTGAGGTGGAGGCACCTTTCTTGCCATCTCCCTGTGGACAGCGCCGCCGGGGCAGCTGGCTCTGCTTCCCTGGCAGCTGGGCGGGGGTCGATCTGCTCAGGGCAAGGTGAGCCAGCGTCCCCAGAAGCAAATGCTGACTCTTCCCCGAGCACGAGGACTCGTTTTCCCCACTGAGCCCGGATCTCAGGTGGGGTGCAGTCGGTCCCTACTCCAGGCAAGCATGCCGTGCAGAGCGGGGCTGGGAGCTGGGGGTGGCCTCGCACTCTGAGGGCTGTGGGGCACCTCCTGGGGGCATCTCCCTGGCCTGCTGGGTACCCTGGGCTTCCTTCCGTAGCTGTCCTCAAGCGCCAGACCCTGTCCCCATGGCCAGCCCCTCGTGGTAGCCAGTCTCCAAGGTGGTCCCGTGACCCTGTCTCTGGCACTCACGGCTCGGGGAGCTGTTGATGTGTGCGGGATACTCTAAGGTTAGAGACCTGCCCTGAGATGCAGAATGCAAACATGAGTGAAGTCTGAAAAGAGAAGTTTTTAATAGAAAACTGGAGATTTTAGGGCCAGCAGGTGACACGGTAGTTAAGCTGCTAGACTCCCACTCCCCGTCTCTCTCTGTGGTCGAGTTGAAGAAAAATAACTAATACATACAATTAAATGAATACTTATTAAAAAAAAAAAAAGGAAAGGAAGAAAATGAAAGGTTTTAACAGAAAAATGCGTCCCATGCCAGGAAGGTGTCTGGGCGGGCAGCCCAGAGGACGACCGTGCGAGGACTGGGCCCGGTGTGCTCTCCTGGGGTGTGCTGTGGGTCTAGCAGGAAGGCCGTCACCGCAGCCAGCGGCTTTGTCGGCTCCCACAGGCTTCCTGGGTGCCTGTGTTCTCCTCGGCAGGTCAGGGGACGCTCGACCTGGCTGCAGGAGGTCACGCACACGCCCAGTGTAGACTTTGGAGGCTGAGCACGCACACGGACACGTTTCTGCCGCATCGGTTTATTGGCTCGAGTGGGAAGTGGGGTGTTAACCAAGCACCCGGAAAAATCCTGTGTGCCTCTGCGGAACAGGGGATGGAAGACAGTAACCTTTTCTATTCTTTCCGAAGGAAGCTTAGGTGATAAAAAGGTGAGGTAAGCTTCCCCTTCTCCAATTCGGAGGGAGTTGGAAGGGAGTCCGGCCGTAACTCCTGGTAAGCGGGGAGTGATGAGGCATGATGTCGGGGCTGCCACATCCGTAAGGAAGGCTCCCACCACACCG